ATTTCCAAAAATTAAGATTTGACCTCACTTTCTATTCAACATGGCCGACTCGTGAATAAGGCCCATTACAGGGTGAGTAAAAAAAACACGAAACCCAAATGTCGGGACTATTGTTTTATTGAAGTTCTGCATGTAGCACTTTCAAAATCTAGGATATGACAGCCCAATTCCTAAGCTTTCTTTTAGTACAAGAGTCATTCAAATCACTCATGTACTTTTAAAGTTACGGAATTTTAAATAACCACCGTTTTAAAGTTCTGTCCATGGATCACAAAAAAGGTGCGCGTTCTTTTAACAGCAAAACGAAAACAATTCACACACATCCCTATGTGATTTGTTTTCGTTTTGCTGAAAGAACATTTACCTTTTTGTGATCCGTGGACAGAACCTTACAACAGTGGTTGTGTTTAAAATTCCATAACTTGAAAAGTACATGAGTGATTTGAATGATTCTTGTACTAAAAGAAAGCTTATGAATTGGACTTTCATACCCTAGATTTTGAAAGTGCTACATGCAGTACTTCACTAAAACAATGGTCCCAACATTTGGTTTTTTTTTTTTTTTTTACTCGCCCTGTATACATGTACATGTACTTGTTTGTGTGCTTTCCTAGTCAACCTACATGTACCATACCAGCAATTCATTGGCCAAACAGTGACTAATAATATTAGTTATTACATGTATTCATCAGTATATTCCATCAAGTAATTATAAACCTTTTAGGATTTGCACAGCTAAATTAATTTGAATGAATGCAATTTAGCTCTTACAATGACAATGCATTCATTTTGATATCCAGCAGGTTCTGTACTTTGTTACATGTTGTAATTTAATAGAGTATGGTCATTGCTTGCCAACTTTAAAAGTGGTTGTACGTTTACATCATCCAGTGATCAAATTATTGCAACATTTAAGCATTAGAATGTTCAGCTTCACTAAGCTTCTTGCCCATTCACCGGTTTAAATTCCATATTTGTATTTTTTGGGCTATATTATGTATTGATGTATTGTTTTAAAGGGAATGTACAACATTTGCTTTTGCTGCAATTAGTATTAGTATGTTGTAGCAAATATTTTTAAACTAGGCTTATTTCACGTTTTGGGCTTGTAGATGCTGGAAAAACCAAGAAAACCAATCATGTTCTTGTAGTCTGGTTCCCTGACCCCACTGAATCGAAGCAATGTACAGACTTTGGGGAATTGTAAGGCCAGAAGAATCAGTCTAGCTGGCTTGTACCCCTTCACAGGTGTGTAATCACTTGAAAATGTGGAATAACTAATTAGAAAAATTAGGAGCAGTTTTTGAAGAAAAAAAACAGTTTTCTCCAACGCTGGTCGGCCGACCACTGTTGGGAAAAATACCAGTTTTCTTGAAAATGTCAGCACACCAGGAGCCACAAATTTACATGATGCTTTAGACTGTCATTCGCTAGGTATATTGTGATAATTTGATCATTTCATTTTGTGATGTTTGCCAATTGTTGTATCTTCCCTTTAAGCATTAGAATGTTCAGCTCCTTTAAGCTAATTGCCCATTCACCGGTACAAAATGCCATATTTATTATTTTTTGGCTATATTTGTATTGATGTGTATTGTTTTAACAGTTGAACATTGTGTACATTAGATACAGTACATGTGCATAATTTTTGTAATGCGACATTCTTCTTCAGATCGTTGGCGCTGCAGCCATCAATGATAAACAGAGATAACATAACAAAACACACAAACGTCAAAGACGGTTGCTGAACGCAATCGGTCTATGTAGTCGGAAACCAGGAATTTATACATACCGGTACATGTAACTTCTATATTTTAAAATCACGGGCTTGGGTAACGGCTAATTTTTGAATGTCGATTACTGGCCCTAAACTCCCAGATCCATCAAAATCTGACAGGATCTTCCAAGGATTTTGTAGGATTGACAAACTGTGTTAGTTTTTTGAACACTGGAGGATTTCCAGATGATTTCAGGAAGGCTTCTAATAAACGAACAATGGTGTAAAAAGGAAAGAAATGTGTCACATGCCGGGTACAATAGATGTACCTTTGTTTTGGGGGGTTTTGGGATCTCTTTTCCCCCTCCCCTCCCTCCCCCCTCCCCCTCCCCCCCCCCCCCCCCCACTCCTGATTGTGAAGAGCTGAATGCAAGCTGATAATGTTTCCAAGTTCAAGTTTCTACCCAAATGTTAACTGGAATGCCAACCAGGACTCAATCTGTGTAATTGAAATCGGCTCTCCCCAAAAACGAAACGCTTGACAAGCTTAGCGTGGCAGTCGCTGGGGGTTGCCAGTCTGATCTGAAGGGTCTAGGTTTGTTTGTCCAAGGTGTCCGTTTACTCGTTTAATAAAACTCCCAGGGTGGCGGAAAAACATTCCAACCTGCCGACAACGGAGGTAGAATGTACTAACTGTAACAGCAGGGCTGTGAAAAAAGCAATTCACGAGCTAAATAATACGATTTTGAAAATTGAAAACTTGTGTGTGTGTACACGTGCGTGATGAAATAGTTTTTTTAGAGCTAAATGTGTACCTGAACCTGTAGCATTAAAGTTGGCATCATAAGAAATTTGTTAGTCGATGTCAGTGTTCTAACTTGGACTTTGTGTTAACAGTAAATTAGCAATGTGGTTTTGTTTGCACATATCACATACATGTAGGCTGAGTAAAACATAATTAGTTTCTTGTCTGGCCTTTTGAAAAAAAATGAAGGAGGCGGACGTGCATTTTTTTAGTTCTCCCAAAATGGTGGATTTTCTAAGATAGTGGACATGAATTGTACAATTTTCTTGACGGTTTTGCTGATACAAAAATTGTGTCCAAAGGAGCCATTATAACCCTTTCTACATAGCTTCACAGTTTTGTTGGAAACAAAAAAAGACAATTATATTGACAATATATAATATATATAAAATATATTGCAAATGTATGAAAAACTAAAAAGCAATACTTTATCAAAACTTATAGATTAAAATAAAGCAATTAATCAGACTAAAAATGATGAAAATAGGTTTTATGAAAATGAATAAAACTGCTGCAAACTACCGGTACTTACTGACCTGATTGACGTGAAATATACAAATCGACAAATTTAGACAACCTAACATTTCGAGACTTTCTCAAAAGCAAAATAGGTTTTAAAGAAAGTGTTGGAGACAAAAATTCAACTCATAGCATTCACAGTGACAAATGTACTTTGTTGTATGTATAAAAAAATTAATCTGGATAAAATGATAGAAAACAGGTTTGTTTTTTAATAAAGTTTTGGAGACACTGGGACATCAAGCTGAAATATGGGATGCTTGGTCATCTAGGGTTAAAGGGAATATACATCATTTGCTTTTGCTGTAATATTCAGAAATGGATGGAATTGGGGGGTTGGAAATATAAAGCAAATATAGTTACACTGACTTTTTGGAGGTTTTGGGTTCAAAAATGCTATAAAAACCAAGAAAAACGATCATTTTCCTGTAGTCTGGTTCCCTGACTCCATATAAGAAGAAACAGAGCAGTTTACATACATTGGGGAATTGTAAGGTCAGGGAACCAGTCAAGCTGGCTCTTACCCGTTCATAGGTTTGTAATCGATTGCAAACAAGTGCAATGGTCAATTGGGTCCAGTATTTGAAAAAAAAGCCAGTTGTTTCCAACGCTGATCGGCCGATCAGCGTTGGAAATTGATACAAAAATACCACTTTTCTTGAAAATGACAGTATACCAGGTGCCATAATTTTACAGGATGCTTTATACTGTCATTTACCAACATCCTATTAAGGTATTTCGCAAAAACTTGGTAGTTTTATTTTTAGATGTTTGCAAATGTTGTATATTCCCTTTAAGCTATGCTTTTGTGAGTTAATGAGAATAATAACTCGTTTGACAGATGAACATTAGATACTGCTTCTGTATTGCATGATCTGAGCCATTCTGAGGCAAGTTAAATAACAGACTCCAAGCTCCAGTACATTATTGACAGTGGACGGGAAATGGCGTGAAGACACCCGAACATTCCAGACTCGCCCCCACATCACTTGATGTGAAAAACATTAGTCTTGGGAATTCACATTAGAATGCACAAGTGTGTAATCGGGCTACCAGAGAGTATTCAAATTTATATCGCAAACTTCTCGTGTTGAGATAAACGATACCCTTTAAAGTTGCATTAGCCATGCTATTTTTGAGTTTCATCACGACAAATAGATTCCTTTTCTAAATTGCTCTTTTGTAGCAATACAAAAGTATTCACTTTTGAATGAGACGTCGACTGAAAAAAAAATCGGCCCACATTTGCACGTATGAGTGCCGTGGTCCAATATACGGTGTTTAGCTCGAGTGCCGTGGTACGCGGGTTTGAACCCTGACAGGGGACATGGTGCTTGTGTTCTTGTGCAAGACTTTCGCTACAATTGCCTCTGCAAGCAGGCGTCTAAAGTGGGTACCTGTGAGGATAGAGACCAGAATGCACTCATCTCGAGCTGCTCGAGAAAAATGGTCTCAGGACCTGATAAACAAGGGTAACAATTGTAAAGGGCTTTGAGACCTTTGGTAAAAAGTGCTATATAAGCGCCACCTTATTATGAACATGTATTATTGTTGAATTATTACTTTACAAATTTCAAATTACTTGCAACTTGTTAATAATTCCATTCTTGCAAGGTAGTCTTGTTCCCACCCCACAATCAGTATCAATAATGTACAGACCACTGTAAACCAGTCTGCTCGCAAGCCAGATCTTGTTGTGCCCAAATAAAAACACCTTTTTTATTTCAGAGAGTGACAGTCACCAAAAACGAAGAAGATAAAAAATGCGGTTTTTGGTTTGAATTGAACATACATTTGGATATTTATTGAGAGAAAAAATGTAAAAATAGCACAGGAAATGCAAGTGTAAGGCGCATCCATAATTTCTTGCAAGACCCTCCTCCTGATGTGAAGACCCTGTTTGTCTGTTTCTCACCGGCTTATATTAAGCTGCTTGTTTTTTGTCTTTCCTCCTTGCAGGGAGATTAAGCTACTTAAGAGATTGAATCACAGGAACGTGATTGAGCTGGTGGATGTCCTTCACAGCGAAGAGAAACAGAAGATATATCCTTTGATTTTACACATGTACATAGATCCCTCGTCAGTTACTTCCCAAATCACCCCCCCCCCCCCCCAAAAAAATTCTAACATTGCAAAATTTGGCGGTTTCTATAAGGGAACAAAATCCACTTTGTGGAGTGCTGTGGCCTCGTGGTTAAGGGCACTGATTCGTGGTCTGTGGGTAAAGCTGCAGGTCATGGGTTTCGAGTCCTGGCGGGGTCATGGTGCGTGTGCCCTTGAGCAAGGCACTTTGTCACTCATTGCTTCTCTCCACCCAGGAGTAAATGGGTACCTATGAGGGCAGTGATGGTTATTGTGATTGAATTAGCTTCCTTGCGCCTAACAGGCTGCATCGAGCTGTATACTCCCCAGGGAGCTGAGATGGTATATGGAATGTTTAATTGGCCCAATGATTAGGGGTAATAATAATGTAAGCGCTTTGATCTTAGTAAAAAGCGCTATATAAGAACCTGTTATTATTATATTATTATTATTTAAAATTATTGGACCAACCAAACTAGTTGGTGACATTCTCAACAAACATGTATGTCATAGATAGAGGGCAGGGTTTTGATTTTTTGAGGGAAATTTGGGGGAAAAATGACGATGAAATTGCGTGGCGACAACACGCGACCCGCAAAATGAAGATGGCGATCACTGTGCGATGTACCGTGAGCACGCACGGCGTGCTGAATCGCAAGGCACAAACCGCGCAGGAAAATCGTGATTTCTACCCCAAGAATCTGTTCAAAATTGCAAAATGGGTGTCATTAGAATTCAGAAAAGTCTGCTTTTGATTGTAAAGGTGATTTTTGAGCAATAAAAAAACATTTTTGACTCTAATTTGATCAAAACAAAACAGAGGCCCTACACTTCAAGATCGCCCAAAATTTGGCCACCCAAAAAAGAATTTAAAAAATTTAATTTAGTCATGCAACTTTTCCTCGGATCAGCTGAAATCCTCTTCTGTTTTAAAATTGCATATCTATAAAGCGAGGTTGAGAAGCATCATAAAAAGTCTTCTTAAGTCAAGGAATTTGGTCTTTTTTGTGGCCTATAAGTTTATTCCCCCCCCCAAAAGAAATCCTTTATCATGTGTATGGCTCCCCTTGCCCATTCACTTACATTTTAGCTAAAATATAATAATATATACAGCATATCAAACATCAAAAACAAAACTACTCAATTATGATGAAATAGATCTACCTTACTTGACTATAAGTGAATAATAGTCTCAAGCATCCTGTAAAATCGTGGCACCTGATGCTGTCATTTTCAAGAAAAGTGGAATTTTGGTATCAATTTCCAACGATGGTCGGCCGACAATCATTGGTAAAAAATGTACTGCCCTCAAGTTACCAAATTTACTTCTTGTCATTTTCTGATGCATTGTCACTTCAAAATCAGAACAAAAATTTCAGACAAAAAATTTCAGACAAAAAAATAAACAAGAATGGTCCTTGACTTCAGTGTGTACGTATATAATTATGGAGTACTGCATGGGAGGTTTACAAGAGATGTTGGAGAACACGCCGGAGAAGAGGTTTCCTCTCTGGCAGTCCCACGGGTGAGTCTTCTTCAAACAGTCAATTTCAGCAAATTTCTGTCAATTTCTGCAAATGCTGGCTTGCAATTCTGTTACAGGTCTCTGGGGTGTGTTTTCTGGAGCTGGTCAGCACTAACATTTATTAGGGTACGTTTCGAGTAGCTCAGCCGGATTCGACTCGGGTAAAGGCAGATGGGTTAGCCACAACAGCTGGGCTAATTGAAGGCCAAACCTTGGACCATCAGGATCCTCACGTGATGTCTGTAGCCGCGACCGTAGTCACTGATAAAACGCCTGTTTCAGACTGGGTCTTAGTTTGAGATTTACTGCTTTTCATATATGAATAGCAAAACTGAAAAAAAGGTTGGGCTGGAATTATAGCCTCTAAATTTGCAATGAACTCATTAAATAATTACCTTTAGACTTCAAATAAAGTTGATTTTTGGGTCCACTTGAGATTTCCGCTGTCTGGCTACCATATTTGTCAGTTTCTTGGAATGAACAACTCATGCATGTGACATATTTCCACCACTGACTCGGTGGTCGCTGACCCGGGTGAGCCCCTAAAATTAAGTTAGAGCTGATCGAACAGCACGGGACTAACCTGAATCGATCCGGGTGAGATACCCGAATGCACCCTTAGCTTAGTTCAGAGAAGTTTTGGAAATTTATTTTGTATTAGGCCCCCTATTACACTGCTAAAAATGATTTTCTTCAATGTCTTTCAGAGGTTTGAAATCTCAGCTTTAAAGCTGATTTCAGCTTTTTTCCTCACTTGCTGTGTACAAAAGTATAGGAAATTTCCAAAGTTCAGCTTTTTAACACCTTTTTCAGCTGTTTTCAGTTATTTTTATCAGTGGTCACTCACACCCCTGATCTTTAATACATGTATAAGAAAATAAATGTTGTTTCAAGAAAACGTTTCTTATCTAAAGACAAAAGTTTTCTTGAAATAAGATGTTTTCTAATTTTAAGAAAACTGTTTTTAGCAGTGTCAATTTTTGCAGGACAGCCTTCCCTCCTTAATAAACATGCTTGTGAAAAACATCATGGATGGTCAACATCCAGACCTCCTTCGCATCAACAAACTTCTCAGCGGTATTTTTTAAATGAACACATGGAATGCACCTCTGTCTTGACCATCAAACTTTATTCAACACCGCACTGCAATGGGCAGATCGAGACACCCATTTAAAACTTGCGCACACTCGAGATGCACATTTTGAGTGACGCCGTCTAGCGAGTTCCGTTCACAAGTGGGAACAGTTTCGCACTTTGCCACACTTTCAGTAGCGCCATGCTTGCTGAAATGTATACATTGATCAAGCGAAACTCGTTTGGTTGTTAACGCTTCAGCGAGCCCGCAAGTGGCAACGTGTGTACTCCACTGCCAAGTGCGGACCGTGCTTGAACAAAATAGCCTGCAGAGGGGGGACAAAAAAGAACGATGACAAAGAAATTGGATCAACATGAGATGAGAATTGAAATGTTGGTGCAAGTCTATTTTTAGTAGAGGCTTGACAATGGTGCTCTTTGTTGTACTTTGCGTGTGGGAATAACATAAAAAAGGCCTTTTGTGTAGCTACAAATGCTTAGAGCTTACACCAAGGATGTTCTATTTGAAAGAGCTAGCTATCGGTGATACGTGTACATTTACATGTACAAATACAATGTTGTTGGTTTCATTTTTTTGGAAATCACACGTACATCATTCAAATCTTAAGTATTCACAAATGTAAAAAAAAACTGTACAGGAATTCCCCTTCATAGGAACTATGAAAATGTCTACTGAGCTGAAACTTCAACAGGTGTATTACCGGTAGTTCTGTGCATTGATGGATTGCTGCACTGTTATTTGATTTGTAAAAAGGGCAAAAAGTAAAGAAAAAATCCTCCTTGCCTTTTATGCGCGTTTTGATGATTTTCTTTAAAACGCAGTGGCGTGAAAAGATTACATGTACCTACCTGTACATGTGTATGGTACCTACATGTACACGTACAATACCAGTGGTTTGTGCAGCTAATTTTAGATGAGAGCAACAGTAACAGAAGTTTCCCATGCATGCGTCAAATTCATTGTACTGTATAGTGTACATGATGAATGTGAAATCGTGATTGAACAGTCCCAGTTCCATCATAATTACATGAATTTCTTTCTCTAAGTGTTTTTAGCCTTTTTCCCCCCAAGGTTACATTTCCTTTTTTATCCCTTCTTTTCATAGCCCTCCCCTTTAGTGGCCCAACACAAGCCTTGTGTTCACTCTCATAAAAAAAAAATCAAAATTGGGCAAGAAATTTCATGACAATGTTTTTAACTGTAGAAGGCTATGAGGCAATTGACATGTATTGTTTTGCATGTTCCTTGCTGCAATCAGTGGGTGAACATGTACTGTACATGTGTGTTTGCATTTCAAATGGCCTGTTTGACACTTACCGGTATTCAGTTTCCAGTGACCTGCAAAAGTAATGTTTTGTAACGCGAGATTTGCACTTTGCTAGCTCTCCCTAGTCGCCATGGATTCCTGGAAACGTGCCAACAACACATTTTTAGAAACAGAGCACCTACATATATGTTTATACATGCCAATACAATCTATGCGCATGATACATGTACAAGTATGATGTACTGTACATGTTTATATGTATAAACATGATAAATGTACAACATTTACACACTGAATCGCCGATAGGTTAGAAAAATATTTTAGGAGCTTTGAAATTGACAACCTTCCCCCGTTTGAAGATTTGTATGTTTACTCTTCAGTGCTGTTTGTTGACTTTGGGGACTAGAGTTGAAATTTTGTGTCAATATTAATGCCTAGATGCATGAAGTTAAAGCAGACATCTACCTGGGTTTTTTCGGCCTGCCAGTTTACGATTATTTTTAAATTGATAAATTGTTCCCTTTTCAGTGGAGATGGCTTCGATTAATCAATTGCAAGGTGTACGGTCTACCTACATGTATATCGATTCTTAACATTGTCCTCAACGACAGTTACTACATGTATGTATGGTGCATTTTGGAAACTGATAGTGGCATGTAAACATACCATCGGAAATTGACAATTTTAAGACCAACACAAAGTTGTAAATGGCAAGGACAGATTATGTACCGTGTACCATACCGTTTACTTACAATGTAGGTACAGTACATTGCAAGTGAATCTTAACGCTGCTAACGTGATTGGAAATTTTTGAACAACAAATTCGCATGTTTGCATTCACATTCGCATTTGCGTCCGAATTCACAAAACGTTCTCTGCGAAACTTTGTGCAACGGTGCTAAAATACATGTATGTGCCAAATTTATACAAAATTATTGCAAAATTGGTGCGAACTTGATGTGAAATTGGTACTTCAGCCAATGTGTGCTTGAAATTTATGCTGAATATACATGTACCGTATGATACATGGGAACAGAACATAGTAAGTAGGAGAAATAGGCAGCAACAGATATCAAAGGGATGCACATGAGAAAGGAACTAGTTTAGCAAAAACGTGATGTTAAACAATGCACACGCCAGGTATGACTTGCAAGTCCTTGACATCCATTGTGCGATATTTACTTTCGGTTTTGGCTCAAGTGCTTCCGAGTTGAGGCATTCATTTTTACATGTATCGGCAAAGCCATGTGGTTAAATAGACGTAGATGTTGTTTTGATATGTCATAAGTCTTCTTTGCTATTTCCCGCAGTTTTTTTCATTTTACTGTTTGTGTCATACCTGTATTTGTTGCGCATGTCAATCGACACAAGGTCATTGTTTAAAAGACTGTCCACATGTATGGACAGGCATATACTGTTGATGACGATAAAAAAGGAAAAGAAATTAGGTATAACAAACTTGTCTTTAATATTTACTTTGCCATTAAATATCTTACGATTTATTTGGCATATCAGTCCACACAAAATAATAATCAGTAGAAAATGGCAGGTGGCGTTATTGCAGACATGTCGCATATTGTGCGAATTCAGGGTCACTCGAGTATTTTCCATAAAGGTTTAAATTGACGAAAGTGACAGTTCACCGCACTATAAACAAAAAATGCCCATTTACATGTACAATGTAGTATTCATTTCTACAGGTACATGTACAGGTAGCTAAAATATTATGATCCATTTTTGTAACCTGGCTATCAAACTGAACAATGTTTTTGTTTTGTTGTGGTGAAAGTGAAATTCTAGATGAGGAAGTGCTATGAAGGTCCCCACCTGCACTCTGGGTATTAAAGGGGCACCTGCGTATCCAGCGCCACTTTAAAGGGATTTTTAGAATCCTTGCGCCAAGTCTATTTTCCCGTCGTCGCGATGGCGTTGCCTCGTAAGAGGAGACCGACGGAACACGACAGTGAGAGGGAATCAATATCGTGGTCGGAGAGCGAGATGTTCTGTTTGCGCCGGGTTGCCTGTAAGCTGTACCGCACGTTGCATATTTTGCGGTTAAATCACAGCAACGCTGCTAGATTGAGGTTCATGGCCTTATTTCATCTGACCTAGTCGGTTTACAGATGTATCTAGGTTTCCGCATGACTGTTCATCTCAAAAGAACGTTTCCTAGAGATGTACACATTTATGATAAGCCGTCCTCGTAGCATATACTGCAAAAACATTTGTAAACACTTGCAGTTTTGTCATGTTAAGTGACATGGAGTAAGGTAAAGTGCACCGGAAGTTCCGTTCGATCCAATTTCGGTGGAAATGGCGGAATTGACATTGGCGGAAGAGACAGTGACCTTGCTCAGCCAATTGGAGCAACGGTGCAGCAAATTATTTTTTTCTGGTTTGGACAGCTTTTTTTCCCTAGTACCATTTTGCTACCGGTATGTGTGCATTCTGCTTTTGATACAGCTAACTGATTGCTACATAGTAAAAGCATGGCTGAAAATTCCCAGGGACCCATTTTAACAATACATGAGGTTTACGTACATTTGCTGTTCATCAAAAGAGAAAACTAGGTGTGATGTGCATTTGAACCGGGTACCTGAGTACCTGACCGTTGATGTCAGGAACCGGTTCCAGATA